CCCCCCCCCCCCCTCTCTCTCTCTTGCGTCGTGTCCACCCTGGGGAGGCCTGCTTGGCGGCCATTGTTCGCCATCCTCCCTGCCTTGCCCTGCCTTCCCTCGGGGGCCGCGCGCGGCGTGCCGAGGCCCGCAAGCGGGGCGGTCGATCGCCTCCCCCGTGTTGCCGCGGCCTCTCCCTGTGCCCGCCTCGTTGCCCCTTCTCGGCCAAGTACCCGATGCGCCGGCGATGGGCAGGCGGAGGCCAAGCCGGGAGCCAACGCCGTTCGCACCCCGTGACCCCCGCGGGAGGCCCGTCCATCGAAGTAGCGCGCGGGGCCGAAAAATACGAAGACTGATCCAAAATGCCCGCGCGAAAGCCGGTCCAGTTACGGGAGCAATTAAGGGCCCGGTTACGCCCTCGATTTACCGCGGGCGCGGGTGCCAAGACCGGGGGAACAGCCAGCCGCCATGGCGGTGACTGCCAGCGCAGGGGTTGGGTCTGGCAAAGGGTCGGCGGCGGATGAGGCCCCGCGCCCGGGCGTGGGAAGTCCCCGGGCGGATGGCTCATCCCTGGCGGGCGGGGTGGTTTGTGCCGCCCAACATGCCTGCCAGATGAGTCAAACACTCGTGCGGGCAGGGCGTCTGCCCCGCCTGTGATCGTCCGGCCGTGTTGCCCCCCCCTTCTCCCGCCCCCAAGCCCATGGATACATCCGCTTCCGGCGGCGGGAGCCGGGGAATATTTCCTTTTCGTACCTGGTGGCTCATCCATCCCACGGCGGGACAAATAAAAAACCCCGGCGCCGACGCCGCGCTGCTTGGCTGTGCTCCCCCCCCGCCTCCTGTTCCCTCGAGAGATGGGGGCGGGGAACACACACACACACACACACACGGAGGACTCGAAGGCGTGCCTGCTCGACCACGGGGCGTATGCACCCCGGCCGCCATGGTTTGGGGACTCCCGGCCGCCGCCCGACGGGCAGGCATGCAGGGGCTCGAGGGAAAGGATGGCTCCTCAAGGCAGCGGGACAAATGACCGGGGGGCGAGGGGTCCCAGGGTGAGGAATGCCAGCCGGGGAGAGAGGCCAGCGGACCCCGCGTCCCGGGTACCGGCTGCGGCCCCGTTTCC